TTTTTCTCCCCTTCAAAAACGGGTCCATTCTTAGAAAGAAAACAGTTTCATGCATTTTCATGCGAATTCGTTTGACTTAAAGTGAAACACAGCATTAAAAAAAGAGAAAGAGAAAAAAAGGATGGAATTGTTGAAACTGTAATGAATAAATTACAGCAATTATTAAGTCTGCTACTTCTTTATATGTGTTGTTCATTTCCTTTAAATGTAAAGAATTTCAATGAAATTCCAGGGCCGTCTTAATATGAAGCAGGGGGGGGGCTATATTGAACCCCTATAACATGTTATACTGTTTAAAACCGAACATTTTTATTATTTAAGCGATTTTATGACTCACAAAAACTGAATGCACATAAAATAAAGAACTATGCATCACTTGTTTTTTTTTAAAAATGAGATGCAAACCAATTGTAATCTTCAAATGTTAAAATAATTTTGAAAACCGAATAAGTTAATTAAAATAATTAAATTAGAAGAAGGGTTTAACACATAAATAAATTCAAAATGTGTGAATTATTTCGTCACCACTATTAAAGTCAGTTATTAAAACATCTTTCAAAATGCACATCCGATATAACCAGTTTGATCTCCCACAGTGCTCCGTCATTCTAAATTCTTCCAATGTGGTTACTTCATTTAACTCATTATTAATACTAAAGGGAGTGGGTGGTGGCGGTGGTCAAGCATATTCAGAAATGGTTTGTTTAGCGTAGAGAAATAGATTTCAGTTGACTTTTTAAGTATTACTGGTGATAAACTATTTAAATCATTGGTGTTTTTGTTATAAACAATCACTATTGGTAGAGGGGGAAAAAAGGCACACTTTTAACGCGAGAAAATATTTTATTTAAAAAATATATCTAATGCAATGTTGTTCGTTATACGTTTTTTTTAATACAATTTATAAAGAGTAAAATTCTCAAAGGGCCTCCTGAGTGTTTGGGTGTGCGCATGCGTAAGGACGGTACTGACTTCAAGAGGTCTATAATTGGGCGACATTACAAATTTTAATTGATTAACTATCATTATGATAAAATGTATATATANACGAATAGCTTATAATTCATCTAAATAGCCATCTATAATTTATGAATCACTAATGAGCCTGTTAGGACAAAACTAATGAATTTCTATTCTCATATTGGCAATGAAGAACTAAAAGAAACTGTTCTTTAAGCTAGGCAGAAATGGGAAGTTGAAAGCAAACTGTTCAAATAAACAAACTTTTATTATATTTCTGATTTTCTTCAACTTTTTGAACGTTAGATGCAGATAAATCTAATCAAACATTGAATTGACTTCAAAGATATAATGTTCAATTGCACAATTCTGTTCACCTGAAACACGCAATAGCGCGAAATTAATTCATCAAATAAGAATTAATATAAAAGACAAGCTTATTGTTTTATATTAGAATTTGAAAATTCGAAGATGTAATGGTATTAGAAAATATTTTAAAGTATCATTCCAGGTACTGGGAAAGGAATTGCAGAAAACTTACATATTCGGTTACTAATTTTTATTTGTTTAAACAAAATTACTTTGTTACAATATAGTATTCTAATACCAAAAAAAGTACTTGCGTAGCGTGAAAATATCTTTTGTGATGTAACTCTTTCAAAAGTACATAAAAATGATTGCCAGCAGGGGTGTGCATGTAGATTTATTAAATACACCTTGTACGCCACCTAGAAATCAAATCTAGAACCCGACACTCGAAATTTTTGCTCTGTTACAATCGTACCCTGTTACAATTGACCCCACTCTCCCCTACTAATATGATATTTGATATAATATACTAACATGATATAATAAATATTCTATATATTTATGTAATATATCGTCTCATTTATATTATTGTATCCTCTCATTCAGTAACGTCAAAACAATAAAGCTGTAAAGAGAGTATCAGCTGATCATAAAGATTTTACATAGACAGTGCGTCTCATCATTTGGCCAGGGGACTGTAAATAAGCAAACAAAATGTACATTTCAATAGTGTATGTACAGTGCAGAAGGACCCTGAATAACTTTTTATCGGATCTTCACTATCTGGAACTGAATCTTAATGGTTCGAGGGGGATCACCTTAAATATGCTAATGAGTCAGTAAAGATGATATAATAAGTTACGAAATCAGACACACAAACGTTCTTTTTTTTTTGACGAATTTCTGACCCCCGAAATATAGGGTAGAGCTGCGTTCTGGAAAGTAGGGTTCGCGGACCGAAGTTTTTCTTGACAATAATTTGTTGCGTGAGTCATAATCTCGAGAGCATTTTGAGCGAAGATTTTTTTTTTTACCCCAATTATAAAAATCGCTTAATCCAAAGATGAGCAAAAAGTGTCGTTTTGTTAATATTTATTATTTTTTTAATAATAGTCGAACATTTTTTTTGATTTGCATGGGGTATACAATGTTTTATATCGTTTTAAAGGATTATATATGGCAACATACAAATTGGATCGATCGAATAGTTCATGAGAACGAATTATTAAAATGAATTCTTTTATTTCAATTAAATGATTATTTTGTTTAGAATCAATAGAATGCTAATTTTTTTAAAAACAAAATACTCCAATGTTTCTGTTATAAAAATTTCTTTTTAAGTTTCTTTATGAAAAAGGCATTTAAACTATCAAAAGGCAAGAGAGTTCAGCCAAATCTGAAGGCTAACATAAAATAACCCTATCTATTTATTAAATAATTAGTCTAACTAACTTAACATATTTTTATGAATAGTAAGGAAGGTAGGTACTTTATTGACGTCGCATTAAAGCTGCACAATGGGCTGTTTTGCGACGTTCTGAGAAATATCCCTGAGGATGATCCGAAGACATGCCATATTGCAATTTCGATCCTCTGCAGAGAGGATGCCTCCCCTGGTTAGATAGCCCGACGACCTGCGCGAAGTCGAGCACTTTACGGCGGAACAGTTTCACGAGGATCGATACCGCATACCTTCAGTCTCTACGCAGACTGATCAAAGTGATCACCCACCAGCTTGCGTACCGCAGCTAGTGATGCTTGACTTTGGTGTTCCACTGGGAACCTTGTCTTGACAATCAGTCCACTGCCGGATGAATGATTAGTAACTAATCAAGAGTAACTAATCATGAGAGTAACTAATCGTTAGGCTAACATAAAAAGTGATAGAAGCAAAATGTCCGTCATAAATTATTATTTAATTCTAACTTTTTGCTCGAAAAATAAATGGGAAAAGTTCTTTTCAAAGACCCTTTTGTCAATTGCCTTTTGAGTTTATAACCAGAGTAAGTGCATTTTTATTGTTTCTATTTTAAAAACAGTTTTTATTTTTACTATGAAAAGATTATGTAGTTGGAAAAAAATTTTGTGTAATTTTAATATCTACATAACATAATGTATTATTTCAGCGAAAATTTTCAAAATTGATATGCAAATACGATGGACGTCTAAATGTATGGACACTTCAGGTTTGTGCAGCATAAAAGCTATTAAATCAAATTCTCTCAATTTTTTTTCTTATTAAACATAAAATCCTCCGAAACATTCGATACATTTTCTCAAGTGACCCTTTAAAACACCGGGATAGCCTGGTTGGTAGCGCACTGCACCCATGTCCAAGAGGTTGTGGGTTTGACCCTCGTCGGCCGAAAATTCCCCGTGTAGTAAATGGTGACTGCTGCACTTTAAATCTGTCGAGTCACAAAGTCCTCCGTGTTTCCATAACAAATTATAGTAGTCGTAATAGTAGTAGTCGTAATAGTAGTAGTAGCCATAACAAATCAAATCAAGTTGTTGTAAACCCAAAATTGGGTCGGCTGTTCAACGACGGTTTTGAAATGAAATAAAAAGTGAACCTTTAAAGAGCCGTGGTGGCTCAGGGGAGAGAGCCGTTTGCCTTCTAATGCTGCGAACGGGGTTCGAATCCCTGTGATGACTGGTCGATACGAATCCCGCATCCAGCTTGCACCGACCACAATGCCGACGTAAAATATCCTGAGTGGTGGACGGGTCCCTTTGTCATCAAGCTAACCGTGGGATATTTTTTTCTCCATGTAACGCAATTGCCGGTTAGTTTCATCAAAAAGTACTAGGTGAAAGCAAATGTCGTGGAACCCTAAAAATTGAGTCGGCTGTTCAACGACGGATATAAGAAGAAAAAAGTGTCCCTTTAAATAAGTATAAAAAAAAGCTCTCTACGGTTTATTACTGATTGAGTACAAAACATAAAGTAAAAATAAATATACCTTGTGAATACCTTTCTTTTAAAAGAAACATTAGTGAATACCTTTCTTTTAAAAGAAGCATCAGTGTTGGAAATACCAGACTCTACAATTGTGTGCTTCATTCATTTTCAAATGCCGTAAGCAGAATGAATCTACATTTATAAATTCAAGTTTGTCAATCGCAGATGGTATAACACAAATATTGTTTTTAAAATTTTATTTCCACCTGTGTTAACCATTCAGGTATTCACAGGACAGATTGTGTCGGCCATTCTTTAAGGGGCCACCCTATTAGATTGGCCAATGCTTCTCCTACAGAGAATGCCTTGCCCGGGATTCGAACCCATAACCTTTTTTGATGCAAGTCCAGTTCTTTGACCCACTCACCTGTCGGCTCACGTTACAAATATAAAGAACTAAAAATCATTCATGCGTTGCTTAAGTTGAATGTATATCAAAAGTGAATTCTGTAATCAAGTGAGAGAAAAAACTTTTTGTTTCTTAAAATTTATTCGAAACTTGAGAAGAAAAGAGACTTTTATTTGCTTTTTAAAAATAGTGTGCAGGGATCCTGTTTCCGGGCATTCGGGAAATACGCATCCATTACAAATCATGCTAATTCAATAATTGCCACTTGAAGAAATATTATTCCGACGGTGCCGTGTATTAAAACGAATCAATAGGTTGCTTAACGAATGTCAAGAAATAAATAAATTTGAAACAAAAATTCCACGGTACAGTTTTATTTCAGAGTTCGGCTGCAGAAACTAATGATTGTTCTTTTTGAAGGCTTACCACAAACCACCTGTTTCGACCTCCCTAAAGATAGCTCGAATTCTATCGCTGACATTGCTGGCCATGACAGCGATCATTGGCATCTTGGTCATTATTGGAATGTACGTTCATCAAGGATACCAATGTCAAAACGTAAGTTTTTATTTTTTTAGTTATTCCTGTGACTGACACTTTTTATGTTTTGTGCATTTCACGCCCACTACACTATCTGACACCGAGTGGTATGGATGTCGGTGCTCCCCCTTGTTGCATCAGTTTTCTGTGGCGTAACTACCACAACGATCATTAAACATCCATTCCCCAGTATATAACTTGATTTTATGTACCTTTTGATAGATTAGCAGAGTCTAATCGTCTTCTATGAGATAACGACTCCTTCGATAATTGGGACTGCGTTATCCTCGCGCTGATTGCTTCTCAGTTTCATTTATAACACACACACACCCATGAACTTAAATACAGGCTAAATCTCAACACCTTCATCCAGCTCTCCCGGTCTTTCACAAATACAGCAACCAGTGGTTCGTCGAATGCTATCCCTGATAAAATTCTGGTGGAGGAGTACTGTGGCGTAACGATTATTAAACATCCATTTACCAGTATATAAGACATGCTGGATTTACCTTTAGATAGATGAAGGTTGTCTTCCCCCCAGTTTTTGAATAGGACTTCCATCACAGCAGTGAGGATGGCCACGTCATCCCAAAGGTGTTCCGGGGGTTCTGAGAAGGTCTTTTTGGAACACCCATTTCGTTAAACCACGTCTGTCTGTGCAAGCCTCGATCTGTGAATGCTGGAAAAGAAGTAGACCTTATATTGACATGTATTTCAGAGTTTCCAACCACAGGAACTGACGGACCCATTCACACACACCTTTATGTTTCAACCACCCTAACACTCTTTTGGCCAGACAGTGTATTTGGACCCAGTATTTGAAGTGAATCGTTTGAAGCATTTAATCTTCGGATGATGTGTCGTGTTTTTTAAACCTAAATGAGAACTAATATGGAACTCTTGCATTCATTTAGAGCACTATAATACTATACACAGTTATAAGGATTTGTGTTCAAAATCGTAGTATACATTATGGACCCCCAAATAGGTCATACAACGAGTGTTGCCGTTTTTACGAACCAGCATCATTGCGTCCTATATATATATGCAAGTATATAGAACTCATAAATTAAGTGTTAAAATATTGAGAAAATAATTTAAAAAATAATGACATTATTTTTAAATTATTTGTTTGCTGTTTCATGTTTTAAAATCTTTCGCATAAGTAAATGTCATCTTTTTTCTTTGTGTTAAACTTTCACTGAACATCTCTGAAGAGACTAAAATTTCATAAAAGTTTTTCACGCTAAAAGACGTTTATCCGTTTATTTAAGGATTTTGTGCCATTAAACTCTACATTCAATCAATCAACCGTTTATTTAAATTATTCATTTAATAATTCATTTATCAGAAATTCAGTTTTTCGAAGAAATTATGCTTCTTATTTTTTTGTAATATTATGCTCTAATGTATCATGATACAAATACCAAATTTTATCCCACATTTTAAAACCATGTTACTTCTTCGGTAAGAATGACCGAGCTCTTTGGCGTTTACCTACAGTCACGTTGGCATCACAGATTATGGTACATTTTACCATAGTCTGGTTGTTTGGACCATCTATTGTTTTTACTCGGATGAAACCGGTTTGCATTTGTTTACGTTACTTTATCAATCGGTAAATATTGTAATATAATGCGTCAAAAATAAATACAAATAGGAAGCATATAAAAAATCTCTTGAATAAAAAAACGCATTACATATATGTTTAAAAAAGTATTACGTATAATTTCTCGCAAAACGTGTCATTATTAAAAGACTAATAATTTGATATAATAATTATAATATACTAATATAATGTTTGATATAATAAATATTCCATATTTATATAACCTATTGTCTAATTTATCCTATCGTCAAATTTATGTTATATATCGTCTAATTCAACCCATTGATACGCTAGCGTAAACAAGTGCAAACCGGTTTCAGTCACGTAAAAGAAATAAAGCTGTAAAGTATCACCTGATGTTACATAGAATCTTATAGTCCGTCTAATAAATTGGTCAGGGACTGTAGTTTTGTTGGAAACGGGAAAGGTGTCCAAGTTGAGAAACAAAATCATGGAAATTTTTACCAGTATGGATATTGTTGGAAGTAACAGGTGAGATGATACGTGCTAAATTGCAAGCAAATTTATAGCACGGGGTATCAATGTTTGAGGTAATAAGTNTATGAATTAAAAGGTTTTTTTCATATTATACCCAATTAAGATTTTACATAGAATCTTAGAGTGCTTAGAATAATTTGGCCAGTTCACAATAGTAATTTTAATTTCTCCAAATTTTTTTTCTTTTGACATTTGTCAATTCTTTTCTAACCCTCTTTCGCTACAAAAATCGGCAAATATCGCCTTTTGAACGGCAGAGGTCATCGCCATCTAAACACGTTTTGTGAGAAGTTTCCCATGTTTTTGAGATCGTTCTGCTCGGTGAGAGTGCGGGGGGGCATGCTCTAATTCATTTGAAGCAACTAACCAATGTATTGTAGATTTGTTTTCATAATGACTGTTAAAAATTGAATGCCCAGTTTTAAATTTCCAATGGAAACCTCACAAAAGAAGTCTGACCTAATTATTTGAACGACAATACATTGGTACCAAATCTAGAAGAAGAAAAATTATTTGTTCGAAATTCTTTGAAGCTTATCACCAAAAAAGAAGAAAAAAAGTGAATAGATTGTAAAATACATAATAAAAAGAATTATATATGATATCTATTCATGAAAGAAAAGTTTAATAAATAGATTCTTTCAGATGAATGGGTCATTTTCGAAACAGATTTGGTTTCAGAAAAATATAAATATTCGAATTGCAATGAGAATATTTCATCTCTAAGATATTACTTTTTGATTAGGAAATAAAAAATAAAATTTCTCTTACCAATGCTTCAAAGTGTTCAAATATTTACACACTTTTCAAACTTACCCTGTAAAATTGTTAAATGACATAGATAAATAAATAGTAGTTAAGAGAGAGGAAAAAGAGAGTTAGAACTAATGACGTCGTAAATGTTGATTTTTAATAAATTTAATATTTAATGACCGTTTAACAAAAATGAGAAAACTGGAGTGTTTATTGTCAATCCAAACATGAACAGTTACGAGTCTCAATTCGTTAGGTAAAAATATTGCTCAATTTTAAATATCTTAAATATCATTCCCCGCAACAGCCATATATAGTCTTATTCAATAATTTTTAATTATTAAAAGTAATGGGTTATTATTTTTTTTATCCATTCCATCTTATCGTAAATGAACAAATAAATACTTTTTGTATCAGATATCGTTTGATTATTTCTTGAGGATATAATATCGTTTGATTCATAATATCGTTCATTAATCAAACGATAACGTTATATAATATCTTTAGGATATAATATCGTTTGATTTTTTTTTTCTTGAGAATTGCGGATAAAAAAGGGAAGTGTGACCCTAAAGGGATAATTTTGTAAAAGATTACGGAATTATTTTTATTTTGCTTAACCTAATAAATTTTTTAAGTTAACATTATTTGTTTTTAACATAAATACTGTTGTTGCTGTTGTTTTTGTTGTTGATTTACGTCGCACTAGAGCTGCACAATGGGCTATTGGCGACGGTCTGGGAAACATCCCGGAGGATGATCCGAAGACAAGCCATCACAATTTTGATCCTCTGCAGAGGGGATGGCACCCCCGCTTCGGTAGCCCGACGACCTGCACGCGAAGTCGAGCACTTTACGGTAGAACAGTTTAACGAGGACCAATACCGCACACCCTCGGTCCCTACGCAGACTGATCCAAGTGGGTCACCCACCCGCACACTGACCGCAGCCAGTGATGTTTGACTTCGGTGATCTGATGAGAACCGTGTCTTAACGATTGGGACACATAACTGCGGGACACAAAAATACTGTATCAAATATCTCTAGTTGAAGGTAATTTGACCAAACAATAAGAAATTTGTTCGATGGAGTTTTAAAAAATTATTCTCATTAATATTTAAGTTTCCTTTATTTTCTTCTTTTCAATTGTACCTATTCTTGATTTTATCTCTTTTATAAAAGTACTTCTCTTAACTTGTAATTTCGAAACAGAAGTCATTTTGTAAAAAAAATAAAAGAAAATTAATACAATATATTAAAATAGAAAAGTACACAATAGATTTATTCTAAGTGCAAGTTCTGATTGCTAAATACTTGATTGAAATTACACACGTTTACCTATTATATGTTAATGAAACAGACTAGAAAAACTTGTATAAAAAAGGCTTTTTTCCCGGATAAAAATGTGTCACAAGTGATCTTGATTTTACTTGTAAAGGATTGATGCATCGATTTGAAGCCCATCAAATGTTTAAAGATAAAAATAAAAAAAAGTTCTTTTTTACCAAAATTATGCTTTAAAAAAAGAAGAAGAGAAGAAAATTATGCGAACTCAGTTACAGCTTTTATAAACTCTGCTAAACAATATTGTGATAAGAACTACTACTACTTTAATGACTAGTTAAATAAATGGCTGTTGATAGACGTGGTTAATCCATTTTGGGCCAACATCTTCTCGATAAGTATTTTCTTTATTAACATTGTGAAGTATATTTTTCTGCTCTTTTTAACTGTTCTGAAGGGGCAGCATCTATAAAATATTTGTATATTCAATTGAAGTAAACACTTTCCGGGGATACATTTTCGAACTACGTCAGTTTTTTTTTTAAAAAAAAACTTGAAACTGCGTTATTGACAAATTTGACTTTTCTAAAATTTATATAGATTCGATATAAGATGAATCATATATTTTTACGATGGATTAAAGTAGCGATTTCTGAAAATATAATAAAAGTTAAACAAATGTTATTTTTGCTTCGACCAACGGAGTATTTATGTACCAGTTTATATTTGAAATAAAATAAAAGTTTTCTTGCACGAATCTTCTTTTCTGTGTAAATAAATATAGTTTAAGCATGTTTAAGTAAAAATAACATCAAATTATACAAAATTTCTATGCTGGGACAAAAATGGGTTAAAATAGTTTCTTTAAAACGTAGGAATGCGTTATCACATCATAAAAATCAGAGGAGGAAATCAAATAAAATGAGGTCATTTATTTTGAAGTGTTTGGGACGCCTTTTTGTGCGTCTTTTTACCCAATTCTCCAATATTTTTAGACTTTGTTTCTGTCATTTGTCGCAAACATCGGCGGGAGTACGACTTTCTGAGGAAAACAAAAAATGAGGTTAATAAAATTCTTTAACAACAGTCATTTTTAAAAGGAATATTTTCAACAACTCTTTCATTTCCTCAATATTTAAATTATACTCTATTTTCATAATTTTAATGACGCGAAATTGTTTTAGTTAGGAGTTGATAGTGTCGTTATTTCATTACATTTGCTTTGTTCTCTTAAAGTATATTTGATGTCCTGAAAATATAAATTTATTTTTTGCTAGATAAAGAACACGTGATTCATTTATAGGATTTCCGAAAAGAATAGAAATGATTAAATATTACGAAAAATACGATCCAACACCCAAAAATACCCTTGGGATAAATGCATTCATAATTTATTAGAATACGCATAACAGTTTAAACCCAGTTTTTGTTTTACAATTACAGTATTTGAAGATATTCCTGCCCCCCCCTCCCCCCGGATCAAGTAGGTTTTTCACGAAATGCATCTTTTAAAACTATTTTACATTTTTAGATTTTTGATCCGCTGCGCAATTTTTGAGATAGTTTCTCTGCTTTCTGATTCTAAGATTTTGACAAAAATATAAAACAAATGAATAAATCTTTTGTAATGTTGTATACGAGCGATATTTGTGACTCGCAATACCTTTCTCATATTCACATTTTATTTTTATTCATCTACTTTACTTTTTAATCCCGGAAACATTTAAGAAAACTGTGAACAGTATTGTTCGAAATTTTATTCCCTCTTCAACTAAGTAGTTAAAGAATTAGACATAGTTCGAAAGACAAAGTAAACAATTTACAAAAAATCTCGTTCATTTCAATTTTAGAAATTTAGAAAAAAAATTCTAAAGATTTGATCAGTACGCATCGCACAAACATAAATACTCAAAAAAATTTACGACCTTTTAAAAGAAAGAAAAAAATTTTAATTTTCGGGAGATTAAGATTATTTAGAAGGTAGGTAGGCTGGTACTTCATTTACGTCTCACTAGATTCGCACAATGGGCTATTGGCGACGGTCTAGGAAGCATCCCTGAGGATGATCCGAAGACATGCCATCACCATTTTGATCCTCTGTAGAAGGAATGCCTCCCCTACTTTGGACCCATATCGCACACCCTCGGTCCCTACGCAGGTGATCAATCACCCAGCATACTGACCGCTGCCAGTGTTCTACTGGGAGCAGCAATTATTTATATGGAGTACTATATTTGAGGATGTATTGCGATTAAGTAAACTTTTATCGTTACATTCTGAACTTTTGTTTGAATGCAGAAAAGAGTAAATTTATAGCTCAACTTAATGACACTGAGAGCATGGACAAGTTAGTACCGAAGAATTATCAAAGATGTGTGAAATGGTTTGATTCATAGGGTGAACCCTATTAACGAACCCTAATTAATTGTTTTTCCAATTTTAGTATGCAACCCAACCGATGGCCAGAATTGACAGAATGGATCATGAACAACAATCATCAGAATCGAGCAAACAACCTGTGAAAGATTTGCCACTTAAACTTGAACTGGATGCTGCTTTGGGAGTAAGTTTGCTTTAAAAGTCATATGAATTAAAAGGATATGTGGAGGGCTAACGAGATATTATTATGCAATCCTCTGATTCCAAGACCAGTCAATCAGGTTTTATGCATAAAATGTACAGCCATATTATGAGACCGCGCTATATAAAATCTTAATTATCAGGTGACAGCATTGCTGTTTTTACGCTGTTGTAACCATTTTACCATTTGTTTATGTTCGTCTATCAATGGGTTAACATTGCAATGCAATATGTTAGAAATAAATACACATGTCTATAAAAAATCTCCCGAATAAACACCCCGTGTGTTTATATAAAAGTATTGTACAGAAACTCTTGCAAAACCTATCTTTATAAAAACATTACAGTGCGTCTCATTATTCTAATATGAAATATATAATACATCGTCTAATTTATATTACATATCATCTTATTCATTGATAGACTAACGTATCACGTTAAAACAATGAAGCTGTATAGTATGAGCTGATAATAAAGATTTTTCATAGAATCTTAATAGTGCGTCCAAGTCCAGGGAGTGTAGTTTTGCGGTCTGATGCCATTGAGATAGTGAGCCTCTTTTTTTTTAAAGCTGCATCGAATCAAATCAAAGTTAATTGGACTGATTTAAAAATTGTATGAAAAGTACAGGGTATTCGAAGTATACTTGAACACCCAATAGGGTGGCAACTACTTTACACTATAGGGGCATCCGAAACCGAGGATAGTTCACCCAAAATGTTCTTTTACACCACTTGGTGCAAAATGCTTGTTATTCAGTATCGAGTACAACATAAAAAAAGAATTTATGGTGCATATATACACTATTTCTTATAAATAAATTAGTTTGTTAATCAAAGACAGTAGGGGAGAGTGGGTTCAATTGTAACAGGGTACGATTGTAACAGAGCAAAAATTTCGAGTGCCGGGTTCTAGATTTGGTTCCTGAGTGGCGCACAAGGTGTATTTAATAAATCTACATGTACACCCCTGCTGGCAACCATTTTTATGTACTTTTGAAAGAGTTACATCACAAAAGATATTTTCACGCTACGTAAGTACTTTTTTTGGTATTAGAATATTATATTGTAACAAAGTAATTTTGTTTCAACAAATAAAAATCATTAGCCGAATATGTAAGTGGACACCTTAATTAACATTTAAAAAAAATAATAGATTTGTTAATTAACTAGCATTGTTTTTGACAAATGAAGCTGAAATAGCGTCTTGGGGACGATTGTAACAATAAGTAGAAGAACGATTGTAACAGCTGAAAATAAATAATCTTATGTTTACAAACCATTACTTAACTCTTTAAGAACCAGCAATAGTTTTCTATATAATTTATATTATGTTGCATGTGCGTTATTTTATTTGTCACCTTTCACAGCATAAATTAAAATTTTTAACCCCTTAAAGTTAAAAGTTTAACCCTTTAGGTCTCTGCTCATTATTATTTTTACTCCTAAAATATCACTACTATTTTGATCAATAAAAAAATATATCACAACTATGATAATATGTATAATTAACTATACTTTAGAGGAATTTATGAACTGTTACAATTACCCCCCAAGTGGGGACAATTGTAACAAGTGCACGACTCTCAAAAATTTTTAATAACTAATAACTAATATAATAACATTTGAAATAAGATATTTATTTTTTTTCCTAGTAGAGGATAGTCTACTTTACTCATCTGTCAATTAATACTAATAATATAATGGATTTTTTGTTAGTTAAAAATAGTTAAGTAAAAAATTTTACAATTGACCCCACTTTCCCCTAATGTTAAANACAGTTGGAGTCAGTATCTCGTTATCTCTAGTAGAGGATCGTCTACTTTACTCGTCTGTCAATTAATACTAATAATATATACAATTGACCCCACTCTCCCCTACAGACAAAATATTCATAAGAATTTGCTCAAAACAGCAGTTAAGTATTAGAAATTTATTTTATGTAATTGCCAGACTTATTTATCTTCATCACGCAGCTGAAAACTGACACGCATTTTATAACAGTTTGAACGAGTAATTTTGTCACATCCGTTCGACAAGAAGACTGACATTACTGGGCAAATAATCGATCGAGATTAATATTTTTTTTTTACCAATCAGCAAAGAGGATTGAAACTCGCTTACCATTCAATAGGCTCTATGAACAGTTTTCTCAATTAAATTCGATAGGAGGAACTTATATTTTTGTCCACTACAAACTGCCATCTTGGCCACCCTATTCACACAGCCAAATAGTTTAAATGTATACACTAATCATTCTTTAATAATTAGAGGGAAAAAATACAGTCCTATAAATCTCGGCAGTGGATGCCTGTCTGAAAACGGCTATTTGAAATGTGGAGAAATATTTGTTTTGAAAAGTTTAGTAATATTAACCTCTGATTATTTTTAATCATCCTTTAAAATGTGTCATTATTTGTACTACTTGTTTAATACTTATTTAAAAAAAACTTTAAAACCAATTTTTTTAAAAATTGGGTTAAACTTTTAATCAAGTAAATGCTTCTATAATACTTATTTCTATCTTTGGAACGTGGTAATTTTAAAATGTAACAACATATATTATTATTATTTATACTACACTCTTTCAATAACTCAGAAGTTCATAATTGCACGTAATAAATAATGCGATATGTTTTATATCATAATCATGTATACTACTGTAATGTATTCAAAATAGAAAACCGTGTATATGTAATATGATATGCCATACAATAATCAAATGTCATAAAATATCATTAAATAAATCTGTTATATATTATGTGTTATACATTATATATCTATAACACATAACCTATATTCACATAGTATATATGTGACACATTATAATATATGTTATGCATTATATTATGAAATAAATCTGTTACATGCATCGGATCCTTAAATGCAGTGAATCAAAATCATATTAGTTAATCATAGTATGCATAGTTCATTTAATCATATAAATCAAAATCACAAAACATAGCCACAATATCACCATAAATGCAATTTGTGCGTTCATTTGCTTCAACACATTTTACTTAACATTTAATATCCATCTATTTTTAATTCAAAATTGACAATTAAAATCTTTTCAAAAAATAAAACATTTTAATGTATTCTTCCCTATGTTTATCAGTATAAAATAATAGTAAAATATTGTATTTTATAAAAGAAAAGGAAACTTACCCGTAACGATTTAATCTCAACACATATGCAGAGTCCAGTCACTGTTCTTGTTTCATTTATTTATTTAAACTAATCATAAAATTGTGGATTTTTTTAAATGAAAACAAAATCAAAGTAAATAAAAATATATTTCTTGACATTTGGATTCACAAATTTAATCAATTTATAGCCAAATCCGACCATTATGGAACGATTTCATAAAGGAAACATATTTTTTTTCTGCTTAATCGTAAAGTTAATAATGATGAAATTCGCTAGTACAATATCTCAGTTATCTACTTAAAATTAGAATACTATACGCTATTAATTACTGAACAAAAATTACGAAAAGTTCTATAAACAAATACGTTTATATTGCATTCTAATTAACAATTGCATCAAAAGTAAACAGTTGGAAGAATTATTCAAATGGGAGTTTTAAAACTCAAATACTGTTGAATTTAATTTAGTTTAAAAACATAAAACTTCTATATCTAATTATGTTAAATACAGGAACTTTAACAAATTTATCACAAAATTTGATTTATTATATGAATTTTATGAAAAAATATACTTGTTTCTATAAAAGCAAATTAGATATTTCAAAATGATTTTTGTTAATTTTTATGTTGATTATGTAAACGTATATCTTAGCTGAATGTTATGAAAGTTATATATTCTACTTTTAAGACACTCAAAAAAAATGTATTTAAAGTTTGATTAATTTGTACATTGCGTATTGTTTAAATGTATATCATGTAGACGGTTTTCTCGGCTGCAGAACGTCATTTATTCTATTCTTTGAACGTTAAAATAGTTCATTAGAATAGTTGTTCATAGAACTTTGTTATCTATTTTTAAATTAAAAATTATGAAATATTTTCTTCAAAATAAATTTTACAAAACTTAGATTGCATGTAGAATTTTTAGAAGATAAGTAACGTCATTTTTTCCAGACAATTTTGAAAAATCCGAAAAATAAAAAAGCGGAAGTGAACTGCGTTGCCGAAACAAAGAAAGCTAGTCAAATTATTTCACAAGATCCAAAAATGGTAAGTAGCGATTGTTAAAAAGATTAATTACATAATCATTTCTAATTTTATTCATAACATTGTTTATCAAACGGTGTCTTTCTAGTCTCTTTTGAGTTTAGACAAATGTTTTCCATCAATCTTCAACAATTTCTGTTGTGAAGCGCCACCTATGTTGCGTCAGTGATTTGATAAAAAAAAAAGAAAGTCTTTTTCATTTTATATCATAAGTTTATTTGCAACGATGATAAGAAAGAATAAAGGAAAATATTAATTAAGTTAAATTAATTAAAACAATATAAATAAAATATTATATTATCATTTAACATTAAATAACAACACACTATTTAAAAATTTATTTTTGTCATTGCAAAAAATGACTGAAATTAGAGTTAAAAATTAAAAAATGCTACTGAACCGTTGATTTATAAAAATGAAATGAAGTTGTGGGGATATATTTATCGGCAATGTCAACCTTCATCGATGAAATCTACCCCAACAAAATAACATGTCTTATAAACTAGGGAATTGTATTTTTGTAGTAGTAGATGGATACACTACAGTACTCCCCCACCAGAATTTTATCTGTGATAGAATTCGGTAAACGGATATCACTAGTTGATTCATTGATGTTTTGTGAGAAACCGGGAGAGCTGTATCAAGTTCAGGGTCTCACCCGTGTTGCCTTTAGCAGTCGAAGTGTGTGCAGGTCGACTGAGAAACAACAGCGTGAGGATGACCTCCTCGCAGTCACAGGTAGCAAGTCAACTGTTCATCCATCGAAGTAGGCATTATTATCAAAGTAGGCATGTTCACATCACGTCCGGGTCACCCATTTGGAAATATATTTATAGACAATGCCAACCTTCATCTATGAAAAGGTTCCTCAAGATTGAATCAAGCTAAAATGATTTACATGCTAGGGAATTGTATTTTTGTAGTGGTAGATATATACTACAAAGTAAATACATAATATTAATTTTTGCCGACTAGTTTCAGTTGAACTGATGATGTCTTTAGAACTTCCTGTAAAAAAAGGACAGCTTTGGATTAATATCATACTAACAAATATATTTTAAATGTTAAAAAAAATGGTATATTTTTATAGTGTTAAGATTTTTGTAAAATGTGAATTACTGAACTTGAAACACACATTTAAAAATGTCTTTCCAAGTAAATCTTTTAATTAAATTTTGCATATACGATTTTCTAAACAGTTATTTGTCATACAATTTTCGTATAATATTCATTATGTGTAATGAAATCTTTTCTATATCTACATCCTACTTACCCTACATGAGTTCATTAATCAAGTAGTGTTTAATTTCGGTTTTGTCCCCCATGGATAAAACCATTTTTCTTCCAGGCTTTTTCTTTTGGTATGAAACCTCTTTTAATACAGTCTTAGTTTCATTTCTCGAATTAAGACTGTAAATTATGATAAAAACACGTCATTTATAAATTTTTGCAAAATGAATCACAATTTGAAATTAAATTATAGCTGATGACCCCCTTCGGAAACTTCAGCACAGATCCTAAGCTTCTACGTTTAACTGGAGAGAGGATGGTCCTTTCCTGCATATCTGCAATTGACAAGAAACCCAACAAAAAGAAGTCGGCTAACAAGGGTATTCTCTCTTCTTTTTCTTTTTTTATAAAAAGTGGCATTCTAGTTTTAATCAAGTGTTTTTTTCATTTCATGTGCATCACTTTACTTAAAAAAATTATTTCGATGAAAGAATCAATCCGCATTTTATTTTATTTTATAACCGTCGTTTTACGAGTCGATCCCATTTTTGGGTGGACGACTGCTCGTGTTCAACACCGCAGCTTCGTCATTTTGAACCCAATCCAGAAGACAAGGAAACTCCTGGACCAGTACTTCCAGAGGGAACAGGGAGGATTTTAAGACTCGACAGATGTAACGTGCATCAGTCCCCATTTACTAAACCGACAGGTGAGGATCGAACTCATGGTCCCCTACCCACAAGGCTATGCCGGCCTAATCTATCCGCATTGAAAATATCTCAATGAATCACTTGAAAGTTTTAATTTAAATAAACATCTGAGTTGAATTCATTACTACCCTATCTGGTCAAAAGACACCCGGTTGTAAGGGTGGTGGGAGTATAAGAGTTTGGGGACTGTTCCTCAAGGTTTGGTCTGTGTCCGTTAGTTCCTGTGGTTGGAATCATGAACTAAGAGATGTATGTGGACAATGCTGCACTCCCAACTCTATGGCAATATTTCAGCCAGCATCGAGACTTGCATAGACGACGTTCCAAAAACTACCTTCTCAGAACCCCAGGGAACACTTTTGGGGAGGAATTAGAGAGCAGTCAGGTACACTGTGAAAGCAGTTGTGATGGAAGTCCTACTAGTAAGACTGAAGCCCAAAAGCAGTCAAATTGTGAAAGAATGTGTATAGTAGAGAAATGTGTTTAAAATTAATATTTTTGATATTATTTTCAGTTATATAACAAGTAAATATCATCACTAAAAATAATTATAAAAGTCACAAAATTCTAAGAAATTGTGTCATCATTGTTTTTCTAATTGAGATTAAAAAGCAATCAAAGTGACTTCCTTGGGGCAAGTCTTCCACAGAAGGCTGTCGTCGATGCAAAAAGGGAGGCATATCATCAGGACTTCCGGATACTTTTGTGTACTGAAGATCTAGAGATCAATGCTTAAAAAATAAAAATGGCAATTAATTTTCTGAGCTTAGTATTTATTAGCCGAATACTTCGTAAGTGATGAAAATGGCACCCGTGTGTCCAAAATAAAGCATCATTCACATTTTCTGCATTCATTGCTTATTTTTGTAACAAAACTAATGGAGCGTCATTGATGTCAGTATTATTGTGTTCATTTTTACGCTCTCTTAAGCAAATGAGTTCTATTTTTTCTATTCATTTCGTCTTTTTGTTCATATTTAACGTCATCAGTTAGTTACTATTACCATAATGATTGATCACAGGCGTCCATAATAATATGGGTATTTTCTTAGGGTATTCCTCAACGAATGAGTTCCATTTTTCCATTCATTTTACTTTTAGTACAAAAAGTATTTTTTTCAGACCGTCCATTTTTAAATTGTTTAGTTTCATAGCAACACGTTTTAAAGGCATAAACAAAATAAACTCCTGGTTTCCGTGAAACTTAAAAATGCTAATGTATGACGTAATCAGCCTCTGCTACTGATCATTCAGATTACCTGGCATAAAAGATAAAAAGAAAATAATTTAGTTTTACAGAACGCATGAAAAAAAAAACTTTTTCGATTAGAGCTATTAGCCAATATCACTGATGATGTCTTTAAAATAATTAATAAAATTGTAATCCTATATGATTTTTGGATCCATCAGAAAATTCTAATTTTTAAATGTATCTGTATTAAAAATGTAATTAAAAAATCAAACATCGGTCTTGTTTACAATAATGGTACTCATTTAGATTTAGGTTGAATGGAGTATATCTTTACAATAAACCCGCCTAACCTACAGTATTTAGAAATACACAAATTCTTAATTTTATTATATGTATAGATGTAGTCAGAGTACGAAATGAAATTTAATTACAATTCAGGAGAATGTTAAATAATGTTTCAAAATTTATTAAAACATTACTGAGATTTCATTAGTAAATGTAAAAAAATTGAAAAATTTGATTTAAGTTTGAAAAAAATCCAATTTTTTTCATAAAAAAAAGAAGCATCATTTTTCTAACCCAGGTTTTAAATTATATAAAACGCTTTTCCATAAGTTCGAGAGTCGTCTTTCTTGCCTTTGTTTCGTTGCCTTTATTAATATTTACATTTACTATTACTAATTTTAACCTTTATTATTAATACTTACCTTATTATGAATATTATAGCTTATCTTCAAAAGATGCGTTTGTTTGCTTCTTTTTCGAGAAATTTTTTTGTAAAGTGTAATTGGAAAAATTATAATTTTTTAAAATATTTGATGTCGAACATTGCAGATTTTATCTCAGTACTATTATTAATATTCCCTACTATTGCGAAAATATCATTAGATAGTTCTAAAGAGAACTGTAACGCTTGTGTTAGAACCACAAGAATATCTTCATTCTAATTTTAATTTCAATAATTGATGATGGAAAATTAAATAAAATTGATAAACATTGTCCGTCATCGTTTCTCTGATTCATTCATAAAATTGAATGTAACCAAATTGTTTTACATTTGAAACGGATTCTTAATTCATTGTGTTTCTAGATTGAGTTTGCTAAAAACAAAATCATTTAAAAGATTGAATTCATTAAAAGTATTTTTAAAATGAATTCCATGAAAGTCACTCGGAAATATTTTTAGAGTTAAGTTCATTTAAAATCAAACATTGAATTTATTGGAAATCATTGTTTTTAGATTATATTCGTTAAAAATCGGCTGAATGTTTTATGGATCACTGGGAATTGTTTTTAGATATTAAAACCCTCAATGCAGACAGGCAAAAATAAAATCATTTTTATTTATACATGTAGCTATCCGAATAATTTTTTAATGATAGCCTTTTTATATATTTTAGAATCTTCATCAAAAATAAACATTAGGAGAGACAGATCGAGGGAAAATATCAAAAACGCTGTAGAAATCTAACGAATGAAAAAAAAAGATCAGAAATTTGCTTAATTCACAAAGCAGTGAAGGGTAATCATGAAAAACACCCCAGGCAATAAAACAAGTTTTAATATTTTTCATTCTACCTTACTTCACAGTTAGTGATTAGGAGGGTTAGGACGATGATGATAAAGGACTTTTTTTTAATATATATTTTTCATACTGTATTAAGTTCACTGGCAGTCAAGCATCACGCTGCTGTCAGTATGCGGGTGGGTGATCAGCCTGCGTAGGGACCGAGGGAGCGCGGTATCGACACTCTCTTTTCATTACGTTACCTAGGTAATTTTCCCCGTATTAACTCTTTTTTTCCTTCACATTTAAAAATTTTTCATTTATGAATTTTGAAGGATGATTTTTATTTTAAACTCTTTTGATTTAGTATAAATTTTGCAGTGAATCTTGTTATGTTAAATAACAACCAATTTATAGCTTTTCAAGATACATAAAAAGAATTTAGTTTTAGATAATCTTTCTGTTTTTTTTCAGGTATCTATTTACTTTCTAGTTTTTTATATATCTACATTAATATATATATA